TACCAATTTACTTCTTGACATTTTTAACTGTTTCAGCTCTGCACTTGCTGTTTGTATTATTTTAGTTTTTATATTCCCTTTTTTTTCTTGTCTCTATTTTTCTAAATTTTGGTAAATAGGGTCTTGCTAATTGACTTGTGTACTTTTTGTCATTTAGGGTTTAGTGAAGCTCGGCAGCTATAACACAGATGTGTTTTTTCATGACCTCGTAGTAATTTCTTCATCTTATAATATTAGTATTTCATGTTTGCTAGATTCACCTTTATTAGATTCTAATAGCGTTGGAATTTTTTATGTTTATTTGAGTGTACAAATTCTAATGACAATTTTAATTTCTTACTTCGTAGAATGCAGTTCATTTTACATTTCAATGTCCCATTTCTAAAACAACCTGTAGGTTGTTACCTGTCAATCTCGAATGGGGCTTATATTCCTTTGTTCTTATCCATACACTTGAATTCTCATTCCATGTTGGTCCTGTCTTAGCTGTTCTCTGGCATTGTTAATTCTTTTACCAGTTGTTGCTCTTAAAGGATCTCTTTAATAGTGAATTTACTTCATATTGAGGGTCTGACTGATGTTGAGAATTCCAGGCAGCAAATCTCTGCTTAACCTGGGGGTTTTATCAGGTCAGTTCACTACCCTGCATGATGTTAAAGAGCTATTTTCACTGAACTCGTGCCATTGAGGAAGTTTCCATTTTTTCTCGATGAAATGTGCGTGTAGGTGGTAAAGTTTGAATATCTAAATAGATGCTTTGGCAGAGAGCCAATTCTTCTTTTCATTATTTTTTGGTTCTGTAAAGATCCTCTTCATTTTCTCTTCTAATATATTTTAGGCTTTAGGTCAGTTCCCGTGAATGATCAATGATGACGTCTTTCAACTTGTTAGACAAAAAATGCTAGCCTTTACCCTAATTACTGTACTGAATGAGATGGAGTGTGTACAAAAAATTCTGTTGTTTCATTTTGTGTCATAAATTTACTTTCTTATTGATGTTTTGGCCCAATCAAATTCTCGTAATTCAAGTGGTACGAGGGTTCAAGCTTGGGGACTTCTTGTGAAATCAAACAATAACGGTGAATAAATGTTTCTTTTTGACACCTGGATTTTTGTTTTGTTTCATCATGCAGGGATTACACAAATCCTTATCTCCCTGTTAATCCTACTGCAATGGAAGGTTTTGTTCAGGTGTGTTTCTCAACTGGAATATTTGCTAACCTTTTCTGTTGTGTGGACAAGGATGGCATTAATATCACACTTTATTCAGCCCGTTTTAGGTCCTGATGGAAAGAAAAAGGAAGTTGAGAGTAATGTGCTGCTTGCATCCATTGAGAATATGCAATATGCAGTCAGTGTGGATGTTCTTCACTCGGTATTGATTGTACTAATTATTGTTTTACACCCACATGTCAGATGAATTATAATTGATCGATAACTGCCAATTTGATCAGGTATTCTCTGCATTTGGTACTGTCCAAAAGATTGCAATATTTGAGAAGAATGGTGGAACTCAGGCCCTAATCCAATATCCTGGTAAGATGCTTGCGAACTACACATCCGTCAAATTTTCCTAATTGGGGAGAAAGGAAGTCTCAAATAGACTAGTGAAAAAAATAAAATAAAAAATGTAGAGCTTCTTCACATGCATATGGATCATGATGTATGCTATGTTAGTGGATAGGTTCCTTGTTGGAGTTGTGAACAAGTACAAGGTGCCGTCCATAATTTTACACTCCTTCCCTCTATTGAGTTTTGTTTCCTTGCATCTTGAGAAAACTTGGTTGGGAAGGTACAGACTGGTAACATGAGCTTATGTAGCATTTTGAACAAGGTGTGCATTTTGGACTTCTGTTATTGTTTAGTTTTCTTTTCTTCTCATCAATCACATGAAGGTAGTAACTTTAACTGAATATATTAACCAACTGCTGGTAGTTTTCATTATTTCAGTGGGATGACCCCCCCCTCCACACACACACACACACACACACAGAGGAAACAGAGGACCTTGAAATTAGTTAGTATAAATCTTAAATATATAGCTGTATTAATTTCTGCATGCTGTCATTACACTTTCGATATCACAAGGTATGTTCATATATAGGCGCCTAACCTGAGCTTGCAACGTCTTGGATGCATTATAATCGGATACACTGGCTTCGGAAACTTCAGTATGAGCTTATTTCTAAGAATTCATTGTGGTAGACATTACTGAGTCATGGCTGTTCCCCTCCTTTTTTTTTTTCCATCGTTGTATTTATATGATTTTTAATTCCCTCTGCATTCAAATTGAATGCCCTTTTTCGACATAATGTCTCATATCGAAAAATATTCTCCATCTGGTGGACCGCTTTTTCTACTTTTCGACTTCTCATTTCTTTAAAAAAATGAAAGCGACTAGTACCTGACTTCAGGTTATCTTTAAATAATGGACAGTTTCAACTCCAGCTAATTAATTCCCCAACATTAGATTTGAAATTGAGGGAGTACTTCACTGCTGCTACATCCCATATCCTTGCATTAAGGACACTGATATTTGAGATCTACTTGTGCAATATTTACACGTGGATACTGATATACCACACACTCCATCTTGAAATGCATTGTTTATTTCATTGTGTATGCCATCCTTTTTGGTGAAAATTTGGTTCACTAACTGATCCATGACTTGCTTTATTTCAGATATGACAACTGCAGCTGTTGCTAAAGATGCGTTAGAGGGTCATTGCATATATGATGGTGGCTATTGTAAGCTTCATCTATCATACTCTCGTTATACTGATCTCAATGTAAAGGTATAAATATGTGCTTTTGAGTTAAATTTCTTGTGAGAAAATTAACGTAAAGGCTTCTTTACTACAAAAAAGGGTTTGTGCTTGATCAGAAAAAATTCTATCCTTGAATGTGTTCTCTTGATGCTCTTTGCCCTCTCAAGTAATCAAAGGGTTTGTTCTTGATCAGAAAAGATCTCTCCTTTAGCTTGTTCTTCTTGATTCTCTTTGCACTCTCACTTGAAAACAAAATTTATTGGTCTTGCCTGGATTTTGTAGGCATACACTGACAAAAGTAGAGATTACACTATCCCTGAATCACTTGCAATGCATCAAGCTCTGGGCATCCCTGCTGCAGCTTCAGCAGTCCCTGGGGTTGGTTATGCTTCACCTTTTCAATCTCCTGTGGCAACTGTGTCCTCGTGGGATCCAGCCATGCATACAGGCAGACCAAACTTTGTGTCTGGTCCCGGCACGTTTCCTGGTCAAATATATGCTTCAACTTCAGTTCCTGCTTATGCCTCTGCAGCAACTTCACGTTTCTCTTCAGGCGCTCCACCGATTAGGGTAACCAATCCTTTGCATCAGTCAAATGTGCCGCCTGGTAGTATTTCAGCACCATATCGACCTCCTTACTATGCTCCATGAGTTGTATCAGTTTCATACTAATTTTTTATTTTTTCAGCACCATGTCGACCTCCTTACTATGCTCCATGAGTTGTATCAGTTTCATACTAAGTTTTTTTTTATTTTTTCTCATGCACAACAAAGGTCCACACCCCGCCCCCCGCCCCCAAAAATAAATAAATAAATAAATAAAAGAACCGTGTATTTGGAGAGTAATTTGATGATGCTTCAGGGTGCTTTTTTGACTCTGCAAGTGATGATTTTTACATTCTTTCCTTTTTTTTGCACAAAACCCTAGGCAGCGATCTAAATTTCATTACCCAAATCATGGCTCATTCTCTCACTTTATCGTCTCATGACCTTGATGAGCTACACATGAGCAGCATATCCAATGACAAGCTAACTTCATATCGACATTTCACTATTTTCTCGCATGCTTTTCATGCATGATTCTCTACTTTCCAATTTCGAATTGTGGTTAGCAAACTCAGTACCTGGTGGTTTTTGATTCTCATATTGTTGTGGTTGTGGTGGTGTGATGTCGGCATTGGTCTTGGTCTTGGTCTTGGTCTTGGCCCTTGGGTGGGGAAGGGTAGGAAATGGGTGGATAGTCTGTAATAGCACCACTTTGCTCTACTTCATACCTTATGGGATGGGAATAGTCGTCAAGTATATTCGACATGGCAACCCTTTATCCATTATCAAACAGGAGACAAGTATGCGTTAGTATTGAATTTGACTTCTTGTTGAGAGTAAAATATCCTTCAGAAAAAATAACTGTTCTCCGATTGACGCATTGATGTTAGTGGTTGTAAACCAATGGTGGATGCTATGGCTGTGGTTATAATGCAATGAAATGCCTTTTTTATGTCATTCTATGAGGAAGGTTGGATATGCATTTAATGACTTGACATTAATTCAACTTAAACGACTTCGTACCATCTCTTTTCAAGTGCTTAGGGTTTAAAGCAAATTTTTTAGGAATGATTTTAGCAAGGAACGAGACGAGTGAAAGAGATACGAATTGTGCGCCTTTTTGTCCAGAGACATTTCTGTACTAAAAAAATTGGGTGCTTCTCTGGACGCAACTCATTTTAAAACATAAATGTTAAAAATTGCAGGATGAATAATATTAAAAGAATCTTGGTTTTAACACACGGATGAGTGTTGTTTGAACGAATGTGAGAAATATTGGAATTCAATGAGAAAGATTAAAATATTATTTATCAAAAACGTCTGTGGGGTTTTCAAACCGTCGTCATATATTTAAAGAGTTAAAATGATTTTCACTTAAAACGAAATCGTAATTCGGTAGACAAATTCGAATAAATCAAAAAACTGCAGAACAAATTTGAATAGAGTTAAATATTGCAAAAAAAGACGAAAATATCTTAAACTAGCTCAAAACTGAAAAAATGCTAATAAGATGAATCCATAAACGATGGAATTTGATCCCAAAAATTTAGACAACGTTATCCGACAAAAATGTGCATAATTGAAAAAAGCTTTCTAATTGTTTCCGCTCGCGAAAATTCGATACTCGAACAGATAGTTAAGCGCATTTTTGTAGATCCTCCTTATTTTTTTTCTTTTTCAACTAATTTATAAACCGATCGCATCAATTACCTTCCCATTTATAGCGCAATATTCCTACATCAGGATACGAATTGAATTCCTTAACATGTAGACCAGATTTTTGAAGGTCTACAAACGAGAGTTTTTTAATAAATGGGCGTGGTATCTTGCTTAGTTCTAACTTTTAATACCATATTAACCATCTATAACTCAAAAGTTTAAGCTGTCGGATAATGAATAAATGTATATGTTTGAACATTGTATTCTACATTTGGATTGAAACTCACTTTCAAATACCAATTGGACTACTTGTCGTGAGGGGTAAGTGGGTATATGCACCCAAAGAGGACAGTATATAAACTAATGACTTGGGTATGGATATCCGGGTCGTAACAATAGAATGATTCAGCACAAGCTACTCTGCATGAATTTTACAAATTCCTGAAAATCTATCCTCCCATCTCCATTTTCATCAAAAGCCCTAATCATTCTCCTGCAATTTTCCATTTCTGATCCTTCGTCAAAACCAAGAGCACCAAGAACCATTTGCAACTCCCTTGAATCAATGAATCCATCTTTGTTCCCATCAAACACATCAAAAGCTTCTTTCACTTCATCCAAACCAGGATTTTTCTCTTCAAACAGTTCAAAAATATCATTCGAATCGAGCCTCATCGGAAGCTGTCCTTCATCTGGGCTACAAGAAATCCCTAAGCTTCTTAACAGCAACTCCATCTCCCCTCTGCACATGCTCTCATCAAATGCCTTCTCTCTCAAAAAAGATGGCTTGTTAGAGAGGACATCAAGTTCTTCATTCTTCAAGCCAGCAGCTTCAACTTTCAAATCATTTGACTCAGTTAATATAGGTTGAATAGAAGAATTACCTTCTGAGAGGAAACTGTTGATTCTTTTCAATATGTGCAGCAAAATGAATTCAACCAATCCAAGAATCAGGACGAGTGTAAGGGTAATTGTATTTAGTGATAAGGTCTCTACTGGTAATTTACTCAAATAGGTGGTAGACATGGCTAATATTTTCCTCTCAAGAAAAACAGTTTACAATTCTTGAAAATAATCAATTCTCAAATATAGATAGAACAAGGTCGATCAATATCTTAGATGAAACTCTGGGATTGCTGGAGAATATATGAACTAGTTTGAGGAAATGGGAGGGTGTTTATAGGGTTAAGGGGCTGCTTTTCAAAGGTGAGGAAATTGCTTGGATGGTGGTGCAGTCGGTCTTTGGGAGAAGGTGGAAAGAAAATGGGAATTCCATGAAATTTGGAGTAAATGGGAAGAGTCGGTTTTAAGGAATTTGTAATATTGGTCCCCGATCTATTGTTTCAATAGCATGTTCGTTCTCAATATTTAAGTTAGACCAACTTGGTCAACAACCTTTTAAATAATGCTATTTTTATAGAGTGCTTATAATTATGTCTGTATTGCAGTGGCCACTGTCACACGTCTAATGAGTTGGAATGCATTTTTATTTTGAAAATGATAAGTGTACATAATAAATGTACACAATGGATGACATTATGTGATGTGACAACCATCTTGTCGTTGATGTTAAAGTGTCAGATTTGAATTAAATGTGTTGATCAATGTCACTTGCAATTATATAGACAATTATGTACTTGTAGCATCACTCTTTTTATTTATTAAACAATGTGACATTGACTGAATTGCCACATACAGGGGCGAAGCCGAGGGGGCATTTTTTTTTTTTATTGTGCCGATACATCATACATTGAAAAAAAATATCCATTAGAAAAAATGAATTTATATTTTTTTCTTCACAAAATTAAATGGGTTTGGAGGCCGGAATTGCCCCGCCCCCCTTCCTTACGCCCTTGGTCATACAAATTGGTGATCATAAACGCTCTAGATGAATAACATTTTTTCAATTTTTTATCATAATATTGTGTAAATCATCTAACTATTTGTCAAATCGTCGCGGACTCAGCATGTCAAACGTTATGAAGATAGATTTCATTTCTCAATTTTGGAGATACTTTTGTTGGATTTTTTTATCCAAATTAGGTTGGATTTTTTGAGAAAATATTTTTTCTTTCTTTGCACGTGGTTTTATTAGAAAAAATATTCGAAAAATATCGTTTCATTTATTCCACATGATTTTTTTTTATCTTGTTTCCATATTTCTGGTATTTTTAGGATTCGACATTCATCCTTATAAATATTAGACTCTTTTCACAAGTTTTGTATTATTGAAATATCGGATAATTGTGTAGATTGTATTTGTTTTCTCCATATTAGTCAATTGAATAAAATATTTCCGTTCCTCTACGAATTAATTATTTTGCCTTTTATCCTGTTGTTTGCTTGCGATCATATACTTCATATCGTGTCATATATATTATCTCGATTCGTTTTATTTCCCAACAACTTAAAGTCATGCGTGTTTCCATAAGGATTTCCATAAGAAAGATTTGGGAATCGATTGAGCAACTACAATGAAAAGTTAATTAATTTGCCCATTTTAAAGGTAGGAGACCAGCGTGGAACTTGGACTTGGAGGCTAAAATGGGCGCCAACATTGCGTGTTTTCAGTGCCCTCTTTGTGGAAATTGTCATGGAACCGTCAGCAATGGACAAGTGGACTCAAGAATCACAACTCCATTGGAATTTCTTGGAATTCAACCTCCTAAAAAAAAGATTTAAGGAAAAAAAAAAAAAAAAACTTGTTAGAAGGGTTACGTGTACAAGATATAAATAAATAATAATTTTATTTTTCGATCGTTGGCTCGGCAGCTATTATATTAGAAAAAGTTATTGAATTGAAATTTCTTGGTCAATAAATCATAAAAAAATGCAATATATATCTTTAAAAAGGTAAAATTAACGTGTTAAAAGATACATTGGAATATAATATTAGGTAGTGCTTTTTTTTTTTTTTTTGGCACAATATTTGACAGTACCCTCTTTAGGACTTTTAGTGGGATAAAAGTATATTACGTTCAATTGAATTTGAAAGAATTACTATTCGGCTCTGCGAGTTTCTTTGACCCTTAATTTGTCTCTTTCTGCTTTTTGTTTAGATTTTCTATTGAGAGATGTTGCTTGTTATTTTCTTGTTACAATAAATTACCAAGTTGTGTTGTCTTGTGACTCATCTCCGATCATTGTTGAAGCTCATTTTTCTACTGTCTAGGGACAACGGACCTGTGGTGGGCAAGGTGGGATCTAGACAACCCAGAACAATTAGAGGAAATTTTCTAGTTTGATCATTTGATCGACTAGGTTTGCGGGTCTTTTTTTCTTTTTTTAATTAAGATTCTCAAATCTCAACAATTAGGAAAGATTCTTGATATCCTTTTGAATTATTCATGATGTACTTTGTAATGCACGTTTCAATTTGTAAATTTGCTAAATTATGAGTGTCGCCCTCGCACTCCTGCCACTTTCCTCGAACCCAGAACCAGATCTCCTTCCACCCCTTGAAGGAAGTAGGAAGGCCTAGTACAAAAGGAGAGTAGCCCCCCACCCCCATGGACACAACGAATACCACCCTTTGGAATTCACATTGCTTAAGGACCTAGGCTGGTAAACGGTTTGAAAGGCGTGGAGAGGCATATCCTTGCCCAATGAAGTCTCCTTCGAGAACACGAACGACCCCACTAGTTGAGCCCAGCCGTTGGGGGCGAGCTGGGTGGGGGTCAACCCATATAACCTAAGAACAGCTCGAAAAAAGGGGTAGAGGGGCAGACGAAGTTCTGCCTTTAAAAGGAACTTGTTGATGGAGACGCACCCTTACCTAGGAAAGTAGGCCCGCTCAACAGGAAATGGGGACAGAAGCTCGATGTCATAAGGGACCCTATATTTGTCTCTAAGGATGTCCAGTTGGGTTGGATCAACACTAGAATGAATTTTGGCTGCCCCCCAACCCACACCATCATCACCCCTGAAGACCTCCCCAGATGTCGAGGCACCCCTACCAGCCTCAATCAACCTCCTAAGATCAGCCATGCTAGTTATCTGAACCCCTAATTCATTGGCCACCTCAGTCATATCTATATTGTCCCCAGAGGAAGCAGAAGAAGCCATAAATGCACAGACAATACAAAAAAAATTCAAGAAATCAATTACTTACGAGCCAAGAAAGGATTCTTGGGAGGACGAGGGGAACGAGTTGAAGAAAACACTTGGAAGAATATTAGAACGAAAGATTGCAGAATGTTCAGAGAGAAACTGAATGAAGCCTTAAGAATTCTGAAAAAGCAATGGAGCAGAGATTCGTGCAAAGGTGGAAAGAAACCCTCTCAAAGTTTTTTGCCTTTTATAGGCAAGCCCACTTAACCCTGATCATTAGATCTCAATCCTGAACATCCAGCCATTCATTCAGAAGTATTAATCTGATTCACCCATAACATCTAACTCTTCGTCTTCAAGGGCCCAAATCTGAACGTAGCTTGCACGCGCCATCACGCATCTAAGTTACGCTAAGGAATGTAAGAAACAACCATCATTGCGCAGTAAATGCGGCGGCTATTGAGTGTATTGGAAGTTGTACTGCCCCATCCGTTTCTCTTGGAAAGGTACCACGACATCAAATTATTGAGGCTCCATGATTAGGTCGCCTCGTATTTCCCAGAGTTATTGGAAAAAAGACTAACCCTCGTAACAATCAATCTGAGGTTGTTTGTCGCATCAGACCTTATCAACCTCCAAACCAATGAATGAGCTTCGGTTCTAAGAAGACGCGTCGAATGCATAAAGGAGCTTCGAACAATTGAGGGAACCTCGAAAGAACGATATTCGTTACCAAACAAGCCATCTCAGCTAAACTTCCACAAGGTCTTCATGAATTTGGGCATCTTTCTTTCCAAGAATTACATGATACCTGAAATCCATGCATTACATAAATAATCATACATAGACTTGGAGGACTATTGTTATCCTTCCTAGATATGAGATCCTAGATCGGATGCCACGTAAGCAAACATGCCCACATGGGACCAGATGCCAGCTGCAGAATAATCAGCAAGTCAAAAGAGACCCAATAGGTCAGACACGCAAATGAAGACAAGTAAGCTGAGATCCTCAAACACAAATACCTAAAGTTATCACACTGCAACGAAGCCCAGTCTGAAGCACCTTGTCAAAGACGAGGCTCAGGCCCATCCGAGACTCTCTTAACTCGTTCGAGGTTCATAAAGTCGATGTTGTCTCATGTAATGGATTTGATTAGAAACGATTGATGTGATATTTTTAATAAAGTGTGTTGGAATGTCAATGTGTCAGCCTAATAATAGAACGGGCCGCCCTCTGCAGAACATTGATTGCATAGATGGGACGGTGACGTGAAGCTTCGGCATGGAGGATGTTGCCACGTGGTTTTGATCCGACAGTCACCACGTCGGTTGGGGCTGTATAAATAGCCTCAATTTGTATAAACAAAGGATTTCAATTTTTATATAAGAGAGAGATAAAAGAAACAACACAAGACTAGTTTACATATTTGCTCTTAAAAGTCTGCACATGTATGATAAACCAATGTATTGAGATTCCAATACCAAGTAATTCATATTCTCATATTTATCCTTCCACATATTCCATCACAAAAGAGAAAGTTAGTTTAGGAAGATCAATCGGGCATTCGTCAATAGTATAAGTGCCGTCAAAATTAAACTGCTGAAACTTGAACATTTGTGTCTCTTGTCGGAAAGTGTCTCCCGCATCCAATCCAGCTGAACTACCGTTCTCGTCCTGGTAGAAATGTTTTGGATCCGTAATTGACGTGGCTAGGGTGGGCCGACATCTGTTGAATTCATTTTTTGGGGTCAACAATGAGGTTGCAGTACGAGTTACAAGTGGCTACAAGAAATATGTTCAATATATGGCCTCTTTTGTCTTGTTCTCGAACTATATTTCTCGATCGTTAGGTAGGGCATTTGGTTTCGTATTGAAGAATTGACAACCTGCGCAGTTAAAGATAAATAATCATGCACATACTTCGAAATGAAAAATCATTAAACGGTGGTTAAACATGAATATTTGTTGTATTAGATATGCAAATTTAAGGTGAGGCTCAATGTGCCTCATTTTAGTTTTTTCATTTTTCTCGGACCGTCAAAGTCCTTTTTTTCTTAAAAAAAATGCAAGTTCCATAGCAGATTAATCATGGGTGCACGCACTTGATGATTTTCTACCATTGTTATATAGTACGAGGGAATTGAGCAAGAGTAAAACATCTAATCGTGCTGCTAATCCGTCAAAAGTCTTATGTCATACAAATAATTTTTCGGAGGGTCTATGATTGGTGAAGGGCGCCTAAGCGCTTTAGGTAGTTGTTATCTATTGGATCTTTTCTAAGAAATTAGGTAGGCGGCTAAGTCGAAGCGTAGAAGGAGACTTGAAAATTGCTAGGATTATGAGCTAAACCAACTGAAAATGAAAAGTTTTTTTATTTCTAAAACTTATTGATTTGTGGTTTGTACAAAGAATAGAATATTATAGGTGTGTGAAACTTGTGAGATTATTTTTCTACCAATCTTGAGGGTTTAGGTGAACTAATCCTATGATTATTCAGCGGGAATGTGGTTTAGGTGAACTAAATAAGAATAGATTATTTTAGGTGTGTGAAACTTGTTTGATTATTTTTCTACCATTCTTGAGGGTTTAGGTGAACTAATCCTTTGATTATTCAACGTGAATGTGGTTTAGGTGAACTAATACTAAGATTATTCAACGGGAATGTTTTCTTAACATTTCTCTGAACAATTATATAACGAATGGATCAAAGAATTAGTTTAAGTTTCTGAGGCAGCACGAACAAAGAAATTCAAGCGAAAACATTGAGAGTACGAATTTTGGAATCCATCAAATTATGAAAAGTAAATTTCCGAATTTTATTAACGAAAGGTAATAAAAAAATGAGATAACCCTTTATTTATAAGGGTTAATATGAAAACTTAGTTTAATAGGACTAAAATTAATGGAAACCTAATTTAAACAAACTAAAATTAAAAAAAAAGAATTCGAAATAAACTAAATGACTAAAATAGCGCTAAAACATTTAAATGGTTTTCCAATCCTAAACTAACTTGAATAGCCAAAATCCATCGTTCATTATGACGTAGCGATGAGTATTGCTCGTATCGTCGTCCTCTTTCCGGAATGCTATTATGAGCCAAAATCGAAATTTGAATGTTCTCTCTGCACCATTACTATTTCCCCATTTTGATCCAATTCTTCAAACATATGTTCTACATCAGTTTCAAACGATGGCTAGATATGAAAACTAATGGGCTTCAGTCCATATCAAGAAAGAAAAATAAATAAAGTTCTCGATCAGACATGTTTCGTAAATCTGATTAGACATGATAATCAATAAATTTCATTAAAATAAATATATTTTTTAATCATTTTATATTTGTATTGAAGAGATATTATCTATTTGAAGTTTTAACTAGAACTACCATATTTACTAAATTTATAGCTTATGAGGTGAGAAAGAAATATTATTCATCAAGGACAGAAATATTATTTTCTTTCACTCGTTAATAAGAGAAGTGGCTCAAGATTTGGCCATATTTGACTGAGATAAAAATTATATTTTTAGTATAATTTAATAAAAATTGATATAATGCGTTATTGAAAAGTAGTAAATATAATTACCATTAAAATTTTGTTTACTTTGATTTCTAGGTCACGATTAATATAGGATGGAGTGACATACAATACAAATACATGTCACAAGGACAAATTTATTTATTTCTGAGTAATTAATTATATTCACATTAGAGTTCTTGTTAACTGCATCATGTTTCAATTGTAATAAAGGTCTCTTAATTTTGTTCATTTTCGTACATATGCTTTCAACTTGTTAGTATACTTTGAAATAAAGAGAAAATATTTTGTTGAACTTTTGTATTTATTTATTTATTTTTATTAAAAAATATAAGGGACAAATAATTCTTTTTACGCCATCCTAATATGTTTTTTTGGACTGAAACTCTGATCTGGAACAAGATGTACTAATTTATAAAAAGTTGAGCATGAGAATGCGAGGAAAGTATGTTAGGGATATATGTGCCAAAATGAACAAAGATTCGAAACTTTAATTGCAATTAAAATGTGGTGCAATTAACAGAAATATCGTGTGAATATATTTACCCTAAAAGTGTAAGTAAATGGTAATTATATTTACACTTTTTATTAACTGCATCATATTTTAATGGTAATGATCCTAATTTTCTTTTACATTTTCACACTTAAGTCCCCAACTTTTTCAGCTACTTTCTTATATTTTACCTTCAATTATTAATTAAGGGGGTGTTTGACACCTATTTTTGTGAAAGAATGCGTTTTTGAATAGTGATTGATGGAAGAATGTGTGGTTAAAAAGTAAGGATAATTTTTAGATTTATGTGTAATATTATTTTATTGATAGAATATGTGGTTGAAATGAAGAAAGAGGAAAAAAATGAGAATGAGAAAAAAATGGGTGCCAAACGAGGGCTAAGATATCTTGTCTCTATTAATGATTTCTTTCCAATTACTCTATTAGAGTTAGGAAAATATTTTTTTCTAACTTTTTGTATTTGTTGTTTGTCTTGCTTATTTTAAAACACGGGAGACAATTAAGTCTTTTTATGTTCTCCTAACGGATATTTTTGGCTATCATCAGAAACAAGATTTCCTAATTAATTGAAAGTTGAGGATAAAATAAGAAAAAAATAAAAATTGAGAACATAATTTTGAAAATGAGCAAAAGTTGAGGACTAATGCAATTAAAATGATAAAGTTAGTAAAAAATGAGTAATGCTACATGAACATCTTGAATGACACTTTGGTTGACCGAACACCCACACATGGGGGGTTGGCATTATTTAATTCACGCGGGACCCACGATGTATAGTTTGGGTGTATAGTTTTACCGTTAACACTAGTGTAAAATGGAAAACTTATCATGAGTGGTTTCTGCATTTAGTATTGCCATTGCGAGTGGATCGAAATTTATATTTTCATTATATTCTGATGTACCGGGTGAGACTTTAGCTCTACATTTTGTCCATTATAATACCATTTTGAACAACTTAATTTAAAAATTAAATTGTTATAGAGGAAATTTCACAAAATGTCCACTTTTTTTGTGTCCATTTGAAAAAATGTCCACCATTGCAAAAAGGGTAATTATATTACCACTACTGTTTTTGTTTTGTTCACCACATTATAAATACACACCAATTAAAAAACATTTTTGCTAAGTACCCTACATTTATTTTACAAATATAACCACAATCTAATTAAAAAGAAAGAAACCAAAGAAAGTATATATGTACACCACATTCATCTTCTTCTCGAATATTACCCTCGATTCTGTTACTCACCCACACTGGCAACAAAACTCCTCTTCATCATGGTACTATGAACCTTGTTCATTGAAGTGAGAAACCACAAAAGCCCGCTTTGTCTTCCTCTCATAGGTACACGAGTGTGCCTTAAATGCCTTCTGCAATTGTTCTTCCCTGTTCGCATATTTATGTATGCACGCGGGTATGTCGATGCGCGTGCACATTCACATGTGCATATGTATGCACAGAATTATAAGTCGAGAAAAGATTAAAAATTCCAAGATTTCTAACTAATTTTTGTTCTATTTATAAAATAAGCAATGGGCCGCAGGATACTTGATCACCTTAAGCACAAGGGAAAGAGACATTACAATAAAAATCACAGAAAAATTCCTTCCCTGTTAAGAATACCAACTGAGTCGCATGTCCAAAAAGATGAACAAAGTGATTACTTTTGGTATCTCCAACTTATTTTACAGCATGTGGAATTTGGTGCACAAAACTCCCTTGTTCAAGTTCTAACTATTTCATGTAGTACATGAAGTAAATCCTCGCCAGACCATCTCTTTAAAATAACAAGTACCTACTTGATCATCCACCCAGGAGAAGTTTAAACTGGTGACTTGGTCGTTTAACCCTATCTCAAGAAGAATATGCAATCAATCTTCTTCCTGGTTAGTCTGTGCTTTGGCATAATGATCTTCCGAAGGAACACATGGCAGACCAGACAAAGAAAGCTCATTGGCGGAAGATATTATCCTTTCCACGTTGTCACTGAAGTGTAATATTTACAAAGATTATCACTTATCTGCTGACAAGTTCTCATGGAAGTTCAATGATCTGGATAATGCCGCTGGATTGGCTTGTAATATTGTAGAGGTTCCAGAAACGTGAGTCTTCTTCTCATCATCCTTTGATACCCTCTGGAAGGCTTTGAAGAGGCCTCGTCCACCAAAAGAATGGATTCTTTCGTTTTTTATACCCAGTGTTGCCCATATGGAACTCATTGCAGCTTCTCCCGGGTCATCAATTCGCAGTGTTTTGGGAACCCACAAGCACTTCTCACAATTACTCTCTTTTTGTGTCTCGTGTTTGTTGTTGCTGGCTGGCTTCAACATGTCGTCGTCCCGTGAATGCTTCCCCAAAGTTGGGGAATCAGGACCGGAACCCGGAGGTGTGTGGTTGTGTGAAGAAGTGGGTGGGACCACCCAAGAAACATTCCATGGGCCGGTTACTGGGCAACCCCAGTATGGTGCCGTAGGATAGAATGGCAGAGGGAAACTAGTAGGTCCGAAAGCAGAGGAGGATACTTGAGCTCCCCATTGAATCGAATTCCACGGGTAAAGGAACGGGGCTCCAGAAAAGCAAGGTACCTGAGGAGTAAAGCTATGAAAGTTTTTCATTTGTGAGTCAAGTAACCCAGCTTCACCGACCTTGTTGTTTGAATTTTCTGTAGACAATCCACTCGAGTGATCATCCCCATTATCATTATTTCCATAAGATATTGAAATTCCCTTTTCTTTTGGTTCATGAAACCCGTTCCCCGAGCAGTTTTGAATTGTTTTATCAGCAATGCTCAAAACAGAAGCCATTGACTCACATAGGGGTGCGTCTGAAGCAAGGGCAGTGCCGTTGGGGTGCAGAGACTGCGGCTGAATTCCATTCATGAGCTCAACTCGGGCATTCTGAAGTGCTTCCGAGACCATTAGGTGATGGTAATGAGCAGCTGCATTCTTGTTCTTACGGCGACCCGCACCCACCGGCACATTCCTCATGGTCCCACCAGATGTCCAGTATCTCTGACATTTCTTGCAGAAGTGCCGAGGCTGGTGAACATTGTAATTGTTAAAGTAACAGAACTTTGTGTCCATACTATTACAGCGAGGGCATGGAAGTATCTTGTCTGGCTTCTTAAGTGATTTCTCCTGAGAGGTACTTGTCTCGCTCGAATTGTCTACTGTTTTAGAAGATTTCAATGTTGAAACATTGTTATCGATAGCCGGTGCCTTTGAATCATTATTTGTTGGTGGAGTCACATTAGAATCTTTTAACTCCTCTGACATCAAAGGTTGTGCTCCATCCTTGACATCACTATTTTCCTGTTTTTGACCTGATAAATCCTGCATGCATATAGATTCTCCATGAGAATAGAAAAATCAAGGGTTCAATTCACAATCTAGCAAGGATTTGAATACACTTTGTATTGTGATCATAACATATGAAGAGAACTCAAAAGATGCAAGGAATACTGGACAACTAATTATACTTCAATCCTTCTATTATCTCTGACACGCAGTGAAATGGGCCCCATGAGTTAGGAAATGAAACCTTTGTTCCTACAAAAGATTTGTTAAAAAGAAAATTGGCCTTTTTTTCCTTTTATGGTAAAGAATTACTTATTGAGATGCTGTACACAATTCTGTTCTATGTTTCCTTGTGATAAAAAATGAGATGATTGATTCATTTTCCTCCACTTTTTTGAGTGTACCTTGCAGGCAACAAAACCAATTACATGTCAAGAAATAATAAGAGAAAAATTAATAGAAGAAATAATATCCCAACAAAATTCAATTTCTTTATAATAAGAGAAAAACCTAGAACCAGAAACAACCTGAAACTCACAGAACAGCAAGGTCAGATATTTCCCATACTACAACCAAATTAATCTACCATATGTAGCTAGAATTACCGACTTAACAATATTTGGTCAACAGGGATTCAAATCAAATTACTCCTTCAGATTCCTGATTTTAAGGCTCCAGAAAAACTTTTAAATTTTTGCCTGTGGAAGCTACACATTCTCTAGCATTTTTATCCTAGTAAATTCTAAGCAAGAAATTAACAGCCAAACATTCAAGCCATACAGAATGATATCTTCATTAGGAAAAAGGTTATGAAACCACTACATATTGAAGTAAAAATGAATTGTTCGCATGACTAAGATCTTCAAAGCAATTATTCCTAATTTACATACATGCCACCAATTCACCTTATTCTAGCTCCTTAAGAACTGTTGTTTACACAACTAAGGTCAAAGGTTCAAGGATTGATACCTCCCCTCCAACCCCCCTAAAAAAAGTGCATAAATGTGATGAGGTCAGGACTGCAGTATCTGTATGATAAGCAGGAACTTAAACCAAAACCCAAGTTTATTGTACTACTTAATATATTTCATATAGCCTCATTAGACCGTAATCTTTCTTGATATATCCAGATAATAGGTAGGAACAATAATCAATTTTAGCTAAAATGGTAAATTCAGGTGCATGATACACATCAATACTCCATGAAATCACGATTCAACAAACACACATGAGCCTGTTTCATAAAATTTATTGAAAAAGATTGGGCATAAAACTTGGATTTTGCTACTTGTATATAAAAAATGTACATAAGCGGTTATGGGGGGGAAAAGATTGGATGAAAAAGTTGATGGTGTTTTAAACTAGTAAAAATGTATTGGACAGGATTAGAATGTATCATTGACAAGATTTTAACTTCTTTCTCTTCTTTTACAGTGTCCTGTCCAATTATGTTCAATACTACAAAATATATCAATATAGTTTTAAAAACAATTAATTACCAATAGTTTCACGGCGTGGGGTGGGGGGAACTCACAGAGAGAACTTGAAGCCCCCACAGAAAGATACATAAGAAACAGTTAATCTAAAGATCACACTTCACAGAACAACAAATTTAAGCAGGTTAAATATTTCATAGATTTAAATCAAAAAACGTAAACTACACTATTTGCATAATTAAACTTGCAATTCTATATCATCCAAAAAAAAAACCCTAATCAAAACATTAAAACCAGATCAATCCAAAAGTAAACAATTTCTTAAAAATAATAAAAAATTAAGACCAACACATTAATTCATATACCATTTCCAATAAAGGGTTCTTTAAAATCAAAAACCATTTTGTTTGATCCATACCATTGTTGATTCTTCCTCTTCTGCATCTATATCCAAAGTTATAACTTCAATTACAGAATTCGATGAACAAGAGCGATCTTTTATTGAACTATCATTGGCAGCAGCATTGCAAGATTGAACTGGATCAGCTCCACCTACTTCATCCGCCGTCACAAAGGCCGCCGCCACCGACACAGGAGGAATCTCCGGCAGCTGAATGGTCTTCCCAAACAGCTTTATCTTTGGGTCCTTCGCTTCAAACATTTCTCTATTTTATTTTTCGACGATCAAGAAACCCATATCTTTACTTAAAAACAGAGCAAAGCAAGGAAACAAACACAAAAACAAGCCCAGAAATTTGGGGATAAGATCTGACACATACAGACTCTATAAGGATGTGACTTCTCAAGGGATTCTCTGTGTTCTGTGGGGTTGAGTTTGGGGTTGGGAGGTTTCTGTTGAACGTTCGGGACAACATGCGAAAGCGAGATTGAGGTTAATTGACGAGGTATGCAAAGCCAAGTCACAAAGAAAAATTCTCAACCACAAATTCTAAGGTGGGCTTCAAGATGTTGTCTTTCTCACTCATCTTTCGAATCTATTCTGCTAAAAGTGGATTATTCTTTTGAAATAATTACAATGGGGATCTCCAACTTATTGGAAACATACAATTTAGGTCCTCAACCTATTATTGTTAGCATTTATATTCGAAAGGACAATGTTACCCTTCTTTCTTTTTTATATAAAAAGAGTTTATAGATAATACATGTCGATCATTTTAAAAAATAATACATTCTAATTACAAAGCTAATAAAAGTTCTGGTCTGAATCCAAAATCTTAATAGAGCAAGTGCCCCAAGATCAAATCAACTTGGGCTTCGAATGATCACCAATCAATTATGAAAAATTATCTCATTGATCTTCTTATTATATTTACAATGAATGCAAACTTGCATTACGATCGCATACAAATACAGCAATACAAAAATATCTAAAATAATTCAATCATAACTCAATAAATAATTTAATAACTCAATACCTAGAATAACTTGATTTCTTTATATTAGATGTTTCAGTTGTAACATGAATTTAGCTCACGTTTGTGTTCCATCATTTTCAAAATACATTTTACAAAACTCATTTTTAATCATACATTCTTTCCTAAAATAATATTATACGTAAATTTAAAATTTTTCCTTATTTTTTAACCACACATTTTTCGAAAAATCATTATTTCAAAAATTTCTCTTAAAATCACATTGAAAATGGAACCCAAACAGGAGCTTAGACACATAGGAACTCTTGGAACTTGGTCACTAAAAGGTCGAAGTGTCCGACACTACAAGTGATGTGGAAAAATAATTTCAAAATGCTATTAGAGAAAGAGGTCTTCTTCTATTTTCCCTCCATGCATCAATTAACCATTCTCACTTAAGAAGCACATGAAGTCCTTTTTAATATTTATTTTTAATTACATATTTGATGAAATTCATAATTTTTTCAACTTTTCAACTACACAAATCAACTTTCATTAATATCTACTACTTTCAATGAAACTGGTTAATTATACTCAATCACCTTAAAGAATCCATTCTCCATCGGAGCCATGCAAGCTATCGAAAATTCTTTATTTTACTTCGAAGTACACATGCTTCCAACAACTAGTCGAGTATTCTATTTTCATAAAACAATATAAAATATAATTTTTAAAAAGTATTTTTTTTTTATGGAAAATACTATGTTTACCCCATCTTTAATGAAACAACAAAGATAAAGAAATAAAATACAAAATTGACAAAACTATCGACTTGAACAAGTATTTCTCTCTAGATGAGGTTTTTTGTTTGTTTTGTACTTATTTTTCCCTATGCTATTTGTTTGTATAGTTAACATAAGTGTAACATTGTTATCTGAAGACTCGAATATTACAAGAATAAAGAGTGGAGGACTATGGACATTTTCAATAGGCTGGGGACCTGTAATTTTTAATCTCTCTTTTGTTTTGTCCCAAATTCATCGGCTTCTTGTGTTAAAGTCACAAAACTTTTTAGTGGGGTCCAATTCAATGTTTTTGAAACAAAGAAAATAAACACCTAGACAATGCAAGTTGGGGAAAGTACAAAATTGTGTTTCGCTTTCGAGAGTTCAAAAGTTCCTATCAAAGTTGTATAACTTCTATTGCACATTTTGTAAATCCATACTGCCGCGTTTTAACGCCACTAATTTGACGGTGCGTTTCTCTATCTTTTTCAATCACACTTTTTTTAATAAAATAATATTATACGTAAATTTAAAATTTTTTCTTCTTTTTTAATCACACTTTCATTAAAAGATCACTATTACAAAATATATTTTCAAATAGAACCTAATTCGTCTTTAAATTTGTAGATATGATTGTAAGCATTCTTTAGATTTTAAAATGTCAATATTGTTAGATTTTGTGACTCAAATTAAGTAGAATATTTTGAGATTTCACGTGTTTTATTGGAAAAATATTATTTCATTTATTTCACGTGATTTTTTTAAATCTTGTTTTCATCTTTATGATAATTCTAGACCCCATAAATAGTATACTCTTCATTCAGTTTAGTAGATTGCAGAAATTGATGAAAGTTGTATTTTTCTTACCATTGGTTGTTATTAATAAAATATTCGATTTTTCTGCCAATTTCTTGTTTGTTTTCTTTTAAATCTTGTTCTTGTTTATAAGTTTGTGCGATCTATACTTCATATCAAGTCATATCGTCTCCTCGAATTTCAAGTTTGTGTGATCTATACTTCATATAACGTCATATCACCTCCTCGAATTCCTCACAAGTGGTATCAGAGTCAATGTTGAGCAAAGATTTGATTGTTTGAGATTTTTTGTTATTGATGGCTACCATGAAGTTTGATATTCCGTTGTTGGATCGCAGAACAAGATTTTCGTTGTAGCAAGTGAAGATGAGAGCTTTATTGGCGCAGATGGATTTTGATGATGTTTTGTTGAGATTTGGTAGGATGCCCATAACTTGGACAATAGAGGAGAAGCAACGGAAGGATCGCAAGGCACTTTCGCAGATTCATCTTCATCTATCTAACAACATTCTTCAAGATATCTCGAAGGAGAAGACAACATTTGCATTGTGGTTGAAACTAGAGCAATTGTGCATGACCAAAAGTCTGACCAACAAATTGCATATGAAGCAGAGGCTTTATTCTCATCCCATGACAAAAGTCCGATAACTGGAAGATCATCTAGCCATGTTTAAGCAGACCGTCGCTGATCTGGAGACGTTAGAGGTAAAACATGATGAAGATGACTTGGCTTTAATTCTGTTGTGCTCACTGCCTGGTTCGTTTTTGTCGTTTAGGGACACGATTCTGTACAGTCGTGACACACTCACCATTGAAGACGTCTATGATGCCTTGTTCCCAAAGGAAAAGATGAAGCATCTGGTTGGAGCCGGTTTCAAAGATGAGGAAGTTCTTGTGGTTCATGGTGATCGGCAAATGGGCAAGTCGATGATGGATTTCAGCAATAGGGTCTGCTTTTACTGCAAGAAGAAAGGACACATCAAGAGGGATTGGGAGAAGTTGCAGGGTAAGAATAATTCAGCTACAAATCTTGGGAGACAATCAGATATTTCGGACAAGACCAACGTAGTTGAGGACTATTTAGGTGGACTATATGTTTTGACGATTTCTGACGTGGAATCCAAGCCTGATGAGGAGTGGATTTTGGATACAATTTGTGTGTTTTATATGAGTTCCAATCAGGATTTGTTTGAATCATATGAAATGGTGACACAATGTGTTGTTATGGGAAACAACAAATCTTGTCTGACAGGGTATTGGGAAAGTCAGATTAAAGTTGGTGGATGGAGCAATTAGAACACTTGGCTAGGTTCGACATATTCCAAACTTGAAGAAGAATATCATCTCATTGAGTACCCTGAATTCGAGATGGTACACGTTCTCTAGAGCATGTGGAGTCTTAAAGGTCTGGAAGGGTGTCCGTGTTGTATTGGAAGGGCGAAGAAAGTTCCAATCATACATCTTGCAAGGTTGGGCAGAATAAGTGAAAAGACATCAGCACGGGTTTGGTACCGTGGTGGATATACAGTTTGGTATAGTATCGTTGGGAGTTGGCTCGGTCTATTTTAGATAATACTACTCTGTCGAGTTTGGGGAATATGGTTAATTCCCTTTGTTACCACAGTCTGGGGTTCTATTGTATTCAACGGCTAGAGAGAGACACATTGGAGATAGATACAAGGATGTTGATCTAGATGTGTATGCTTTTGGAGTTGTTGAAAGTGACGAGTCTATCCAAGGGCCTTTAGTTAAAGCATTTAGTGTTGATTCTGATACAGAGTGTGCTTCGACCTTATTTGGTAAATTTTGAATTCTTTGTGAATTTTGGGAACCCAGTGGTTGGGTTTATTTATCTGTGTTGGATATGATGGAAGGAAAAGAGTATTTTTCATGTGTTGTAGAAGTTTGATTTGGTATGAAGAGTTCAATTTGTTTGTTGCAGTCAGACTTATTTTTTGAGGTGGAGAAATTTTGAAACTTTATTTTTTGCATCAGAATGGGTGTCAAGGAAGAGGTTGTTAGATTTTGTGATCCAAATTAGATAGAATATTTTGAGAAAATATTTCCTTTATTTGACGTGTTTTATTGGAAAAATACTGGAAAAATATTATTTCCTTTATTCCATGTGATTTTTTTTGTCTTGTTTCCATCTTTATGATATTTTAGGCCCTATAATAAACTCTTCATTCATTTTAGTAGATTGCAAAAGTTGTTGAAAATTGTATTTTTCTTCATTGGTTGTTATTAATAAAATATTCGGTTCCTCTACCAATTTCTTGTTTTCTTTCTTTTAAATTTTGTTCTTGTTTATTATATTAGTTTGTGCGATATATACTTTATATCGCACATTATCACATCTTTAAATTCCTAACAATTATTTAGCTATTTTTCATTAAATTTTATATTGTTTACTCTATTACTCACTAAAATCAATTTTTTTTTCTATAAATGTAAATTGCGATACTGATTTGCGCTAATATGATCACCTGACATGATCAGAGAGGTTAATCATTCAAAAGAAAATGTTATACATGACTTGTCCAAAAATTTGTACATGAACAAATAAGACAAAATAGATAATATTTGATGAGAAAAAAAATATTGATAGGCCCGAGCTCGAGCTACTAGACTCGACCTGATCTTGGCCCACTCCAAATGGGCTTATTCCAAGGTCGGGTCCATTATGA